TTTTTTTTTTTTTTTTTACAGGGTGGTCAGGGTCTCACTACTAGATCAGACTTGTAGTGATCTGTTTACAGCCTCCCAAGAGGAGGATTACAGGCATGCGCCACCGCACCCAGTCTTAACCGCCATCTCAGCACACCCTGGGGGGCTGGGCCAGCACGGCAGGCCCGGGGATGAACTCCTGGCCCAAGTCTGCTTGCAGGTGCTTTAATCTGCTGAGCTATTTGGCTTGCCCTTTTCTTAGATTTTTTTTTTTTTAAATTGTTTTGGTTTTTTGAGATGGAGTCTTAATATGTAGTTCAGGCTGGCCTCAACTTCACTGTGATCCTCAGCCTCCCAAGTGTTGGAATTACAGGCAAATGCCACCATGCCTGGCACTTACATGTTCTTCTGGGGACAGGAGAATTCTGTTTTTTCAACCTCAAGCACAGTGAAGGCAGTGACCATGTCCTTGTGGGTCCTCCTCTGATACCCTGAATTGGGCATCCAGGACACAGAGCTCCCATCTAACAGAGTAGGTCTGAGGGCCAAGTACGCCCTCCACCTCTCTCTGGTGGGTGCCATCCTCCTTTCCTCTTGCCACCCACAACAGAATGTCCTGTCAGCCTGATGCCATGCGCTGCCCTCGCCCCACATCCAACAGCAGGTCACCACAGGTCCTAGGATGTTTCTTCCCTGCTCGTTCTCAACTTCACCCCTCCTCTTTTTGCCCTCTCCCTTCCCTCTCTCTCTTCCATCATGTCCCAATCCCCTGCCTTTCTGTTTGCACACTTGCACTATATTTCCTTTACATTGCTTGTGTAACAGAAGCTTGTTGGTAACAGAAGCTTCTTTAGCTTAGCAGTGAGCAGCTAGCTAGGGAAAGGTCACCAGACACAGGGCTGGGTGCTCAGCCGTTCTGATGAGAATTACAGTAAGCACAGTGGATAGGGCTCAGCACCAAGACTGACCTTCTGCAGGCAACAGAGTGCAGCCCCCACCCCACCAAAGGGTGCTCTGGCTCCTTCCTATTAAATCCCTGAGTTTCCAGGAACTTAAAATACAAAATAATCAGTTTTTCTTTAAAATCCATGTCCCTTAATCCCTATACTCTGAGTAACTGGGTTAGACAGCCTGAGTTTTATTGGCCATTTTAAATTCCCAGGGCCACCTGTGGTAGGCAGCCACTAAACCACCAAGCAGTTCTCCCGGGGTCCCCTCATCCATAAAAAGGGCCAAGGGGAAAATTCCTTATCCAAGGGGCCGGGTGAAAATTCCACTTTTCAGATTCGCCTCCTGGAGAAACCAAAGACATTTTTTCTTCTTGTTTCTAATAAAAACTAACTTCCTCCTTTGGATTCATGACTTCATTCATCTATGTGGGGAGACCACAGGCTTGGTTTGCACAGAACTGTTCCAACAGCATGGCTTAATTCCCCTCCCTTTGTCTCCTGATCCACTTCCCACCTGAGGAACCTCCATCTCCCTACCTCCTATGATCTAGGTTTTTTTTTTTCTTTTTAAATGTACTTGGTACAGGGTCTCACTACACAGCTGTAGTGCTTCTCCTGTTTTCAGCCTCCCCAGCGCTGGGATTACAGGCGTGCACCACCACACAGGGTCTTCTTGGCACCTGGGGGCAGAGCCGGTGGGGCATAAGGCTATGATCTAGCTTTAATTTGCTCTTTTCTTTATGTTTTG